CCGCCTCCTGGGTTCAGGCAATTCTCCTGCCTCAGCCTCCTGAGTAGTTGGGATTACAGGCACGCACCACCATGCCCAGCTAATTTTTTGTATTTTTAGTAGAGACGGGGTTTCACCATGTTGACCAGGATGGTCTCGATCTTTTGACCTCGTGATCCACCCGCCTCTGCCTCCCAAAGTGCTGGGATTACAGGCTTGAGCCACTGCGCCCGGCTACAATATTTTTTTTAAATTTGTGTATGCAACAGAGGTCTGACTGCATTTGGGATTTTTTTTTTTTTTTTTTTTTTTTTTTTTTGAGTCTCGCTTTGTCAGGCTGGAGTGCAATGGTGCAATCTTGGCTCACTGCAACCTCTGCTTCCTGGGTTCAGGTGATTCTCCTGCCTCCCAAGTAGCTGCACCATGCCCGGCTAATTTTTTTTTTATATTTTTAGTAGAGACAGGGGTTCACAATGTTGGCCAGGCTGGTCTTGAACTCCTGACCTCAAGTGATCCACCCCCTCGGCCTCCCAAAGTGCTGAGATTAAAGGCGTGAACCACCGCACTTGGCCATCTGACTGCATTTTGACTGCAGCCTGTTACATGAGGTCAGATGTGGAATTTTCTACTTGTGGTATCCTGTCAGTGCTCAGTAAGTTCCTAATTTTGAATTTTCAGATTAGGGATTCTCAAGCAGTGGTATGTGCTTTAAGAAATTAACAGATTTGAATTTTATTTTGCATTTTCACAAAAAGGGTACTTTAACCAAAACATTTTGATGTTACCCCTAAATGTAGACATTTAAGTCTTTAAATTATAAGTCTTAAAGGCTTTCCCATCTTCTGGGTCAATAGGAGAAACACATAATGTAGAAAACATAGGTCTCAGGTAAAAAGTTAAAAAAAACCCGGCAGGAAGAACTCAGGCAGTTTAAGTAGAGTCAAGTTTCTGGGACACGGACCCCTTGGAGAACTAGAGGAAAGCTACTGGACCATCTTCCCAGAAAAATGTGCGTGCATATGTATACAACACACAACTGTAAGGAATTAATAAACCTAGGGTTAATTTTTGTTCTAAACTCTATAGTTTTGTCACAAATCCAGTAAAATAGGTCCTGGTAATAACTGAACAATAATTTTGAATGATGGGTTAAAGGAGAAAATAAAAAGGAAACTGCGTTATTTACAAACATACAAAAAACTACTAGATGTTGTAATATTTCTTTTTTCCTTAATTATTATTATTGTGTAAATTAGACCATGTATATGGAATGAAAATGAAAAGATGTAGAGTCCTCAATTTTTTCTTTTTTTGAAATAGAGTCTTGCTGTGTCATCCTGGCTAGAGTCCAGTGGCACAATCAAACTCAGCAGCCTTGATCCCCTGAGCTCAAGCAATCCTCCAACTTCAGCCTCCCAAGTAGCTGAGACCATAGGCATGAGCCACCACACCTGTCTAATTTTTAAGACAGGGTTTCACTATGTTGCCTAGGCTGGGAGTCCTCTATTTTTAATTAACCTAACTTGGCATCCAAACTATTAAATAGAATGAACTCTAGAATTGTGCCTTGGTTTATTAAGCATGGTAATTGTTTGTTGAATAAACAAATTTACTTCGCACTGATTTACAAAAGCAACTCCCAGATAAAGTACTTTTAACAAATACCCTGGCAAAAAATGCTAAACACCTTCCTAGGAGCCATTCTTCTTACTTAGAGAAATCTAATTTTAGTAAGGGTGGCAATGTGTCTGGCTGACATACATTTTCTACCTTCCAGGAGTACCTTTTTACCCTGTAGGTAAAAAGTGGTCACATTACTAAGTTCTGGGTCCTCTGGGAAAGTTGTTTTTGCTGTTGTTGTTTGAGACACGGTCTCCTTCTGTCTGTTAAGCTGGAGTGCAGCAGTGTGATCTCAGCTCACTGAAATCACCCCCCAGGTTCAAGCCATTTTCCTGCCTCAGTCTCCCAAGTAGTTGGGATTACAGGCATGTGCCACCACACCCAGCTAATTTTTCTATTTCTAGTAGAGCTGGAGTTTCACCATGTTGGCTGGGATGGTCTTGATCTCCTGACCTTGTGATCTGCCCTCCTTGGCCTCCCAGAGTGCTGGGATTACAGCTGCCTGAGACACCACATCTGGCTTTATTTATTCATTTATTTATTTTGAGATAGGGTATCATTATCATTCTGTTGCCTGTATCATTATCATAATAGGTATCATTATCATACAGGCTGGAGTACAGTGGTGTGATCACAGCTCATGCAGCCTTGAACTTCTGGGATCAAGTGATTCTCTCACCTCAGCCTCCCAAGTAGCTAGGATTACAGGTGTGTGTCACCACACCTGGCTAATTAAAAAATTTTTTCTGTAGAGATGGGTTCTTGCTATGCTGTACAGGCTGGTCTGTCTTGAACTCCTGGCCTCAAGTGATCCTCCTATCTCAGCCTCCCAAAGCACTGGGATTACAGGCCTGGGAAAATTCTGTTAATTAAAAAAGCTGGGCTGTGCGCGGTGGCTCATGCCTGTAATCCCAGCACTTTGGGAGGCCGAGGCAGGCAAATCACCTGAGGTTGGGAGTTCGAGACCAACCTGACCAACGTGGAGAAACCCTGTCTCAAAAAAGAGCTGAATCAGCTGGCAAATGCCTTTTGTCTTTCCTCCTCCTTACTGCCTGATACACAGAAGTTTTGACAAGAGCTGTGCTGCCAATATTATAACAGAAGTGCCCAGAACACTGGTAACATAATGGAACCACCACGCCAGTCCATCTTGTTTAAGCCACTATTTTTCAGATCTGTTAGTTGCTGTGAAATGCTATTATTAATGAAAATAGATCAGCCTGGGCAACAAAGTGAGACCCTGTCTCTACAAAAAAAGTCTTTTTTTTTAAATTAGTTGCCCATGATAGTGCACATGGTTCCAGTTACTCAGGAGGTTGAGGTGGGAGGATCACTTGAGCCTGAGAGGTTGAGGCTGCAGTGAGCTGTGATTGCACTACTGCACTCCAGCCTGGCAACAAAGCCCTGTGTCCCCCCCCCCAAAAAAAAAAAAAAAGGCCAGGCACAGTGGCACATGCCTGTAGTCCCAGCTACTCAGGAGGCTGAGGTGGGAGGATCGCTTGAGCCCAGCAGTTCTGGGCTATAGTGTGCTATGCTGATCAGGTGTCCACACTAAGTTTGGCATCAATATGGTGACCTCCTGGGAGCGGGGGACCACCAGGTTGCCTAAGGAGGGGTGAACCAGCCCAGGTCAGAAACGGAGCAGGTCAAAACTCCCATACTGATCAGCAGTGGGATCATGCCTGTGAATAGCCACTGCACTCCAGCCTAGGCAACATGGCGAGATCCCATCTCTGGAAAAAAAAAAAAAAAAAAAAGATAAACTCTGTTAATTTTCATAACAATATTTAAAAAATTACTGGCCTCTCTTCTACAAAATAAGGAAAATAAGGCTCAGGGAAATTACAATTTTCCCAGGTTCACAGTGTTGCTAAGTGGTAAACTTAAACTCCAGGTACATTTAGCTCTCACACCATTCTTTTCTTTTTTTTGTTTTTTGAGACAGTCTTTTTTTTGAGATGGGGTCTTGCTCTGTTGCCAGGCTGGAGTACAATGGCTCACTGCAACCTCCGCCTCCCAGGTTCAAGCAATTCTCCTGCCTCACACTCCCAAGTAGCTGGGACTACAGGTGTGTGCCACCATACATGGCCAATTTTTAAAAAATATTTTCACTAGAGACAGCGTTCCACCACGTTGGCCAGGCTGGTCTAGAACTCTTGACCTCAGATGATCCACCCACCCTGGCTTCCCAAAGTGCTGGGATTACAGGTGTGAGGCACCACACCTAGTGTCACTCTTTTCGATATTAGTTATGCTACTATCATAGCCGAGCATATGCACCACTTGCATTGAAATGCCAAAAGAAAACCATAACCAGAATACTCACTTCCCAAATACGGTGTATTTCATGTCCAAATGTGGCTGTTTGCCATAGGTGATGAAGAATTGAGATCCATTAGTGTTTGGGCCATTATTAGCCATAGATACAACACCTCTAACACTGTGCTGAAAAAGACACACCAAAGTGTTAATTTAACTGTGGTTTTTTGTTTGTTTGTTTTTGTTTTTTTATTGAGATTAAGTCTCACTCTGTCACCCAGGCTGGAGTACAGTGGCATAATCTCAGCTTGGCTCACTGCAACCTACACATTCTGGGTTCCAGTGATTCTCCTGCCTCAGCCTCCCAAGTAGCTAGGACTACAGGTGTGTACCATAATGCCCAGCTAATTTTTTTTGTGTGTGTTTTTTAGTAGAGATGGAGTTTCACCACGTTGGCCATGCTGGTCTCAAATTCCTGACCTCGTGATCCGCCTGCCTTGGCCTCCCAAAATGCTGGGATTATAGGCGTGAGCGACCACGCCCAGCCTTTTATATAACCATCCCAAATATAGGATTGAAACAAGACAGGCACGCCTTTGCTTTCTTTTTTAAAAGTATTTTGAGACAGGGGTCTCACTATGTTGCTCAGGCGGGTCTCTAACTCCTGGGCTCTGGTGATCTTCCTGCCTTGGCCTCCAGAGCATTGGGATTACAGCTGTGTATCAGTACACCTAGCCAAGACATTCACTCATTACCTTCACAATATTTAAGGGAGCAAGAAAACATTTAACCAACTTCTCTCTATTAGGGCTAATCTAAATGTTCAGTTTCTTTCTTTCTTTTTTTTTTTTGAAACAGTCTCATTCTGTCGCCCAGCCTGGAGTGCAGTGGTGCGATCTAGGCTTACTGCAACCTTTAACTCCTGGGTTCAAGTGATTCTCCTGCCTCCGCCTCCCAAGTAGCTGGGACTACAGGCATGCACCACCATGCCTGGCTAATTTTTTGTACTTTTAGTAGAGACTGGGTTTCACCCTGTTGGTCAGGCTGATCTCAAACTCCTGACCTCAAATGATCCACCTGCCTTGGCCTCCAAAGTGCTGGGATTACAGGCACGAGCCACTGTGCCTGGCCTAAATGTTCAGTTTCTACCTTTTCTTTATCCTTGAAAACTTGTATGTAAAAAGTTAATATATCAAATCACATTTCTCAATTAATTTCATTTTCACTTTGAAGAAATACAGCCACGGACACTTTTTTCAATGCCAACAAATAATAAAATTGATCCTTACATTTATATTAAGGAATAATGTGCTGGAATTAAACAATCATGCAGACAACAAAACCAAAATGCCCACAATCTCTTCTCACATACAATGGACTCTCACTAGTTTCTTTATCTGTAAAACAAGGGAGGTTGGACTAGTTAAAGTGTCTATTTACAATTTAGATGCTCACAAGGGTCAAGCAGATAAACTGACAATTGGGCAGAGTGTAAACATTAAAGAGAAATGAAGTCTGGCAAAATGAGATCCATTAGTGTTTGGGCCATAAAGGCTCTCTCTTGACTAATGGCATTAAACATTTTTTCTTTTAACTAATGGCTATGGGTAATGCATCTGTGGGTGTTCCACTCATGGGCAGTCAGTTTATAACCCCAGGACTGAATGATCTAAGAAAGGTCTCACCTATCTCTACTATTATGATAATATTTGTTTACAAGAGACTGTGTATAAAATTAAAAGGACTTTACTGACAAGAATGAAGATATAACTGTGAACTATGTTACTAAGAGGTGCCTGTAACACACTACAAGTAACTCCACCAATTACTCTAGCTTTAGCTATTCATTAGGTGACACTAACAAGCTATAGAGATGCAGCTCTGTGTTTTTTTTTTTTTTTCTGAGACTGAGTTTTGCTCTTATTGCCCAGGCTGGAGTACAATGCCGTGATCTTTGCTCACTACAACCTCTGCCTCCTGGGTTCAAGTGATTCTCCTGCCTCAGCCTCCTGAGTAACTGGGATTACAGGTGCCTGCTACCATACCTGGCTAATTTTAGTAATTTTAGTAAAGATAGGGTTTCACAATGTTGGTCAGGCTGGTCTCACACTCCCAACCTCAGGTGATTCACCTGCCTCAGCCTCCCAAAGTGTTGGGATTACAGGCATGAGCCACTGCACCCCGCCAAGATGCAGCTATATTAAAATATTAATGCTTGTCTCTCTAAAAAGTGTTTACTGATCAAATATAATATTACACTTGATATATATCAAATATATACACAATGTGATATTTAATACATATACAATGTAATATTTAATACATATACATCATTTAATACATACACAAAAATATAGTTAATAAAAAATAAAACTTAATAAAATAAGCACCTGTTAACATATTTCCCAGCTTTCAGAGTTAAAATTTACCAATTCATTAAATAATGGGAGCTCTGGCCAGGTGTGGCGGCTCATGCCTGTAATCTCACACTTTGGGAGGCCGAGGTGGGTAGATCACCTGAGGTCAGGAGATTGAGACCAGCCTGACCAATATGGTGAAACCCCACCTTTACTAAAAAAATACAAAATTAGCTGGGCATGGTGCTGGGCGCCGGTAATCCCAGCTACTTGAGAGGCTGAGGCAGGAGAAACACTTGAACCTGGGAGGCGGAGGTTGCAGTGAGCTGAGATCGTGCCATTGCACTCCGGCCTGGGCAACAAGAGTGAAACTTCGTCTCAAAAAATAAACAAATAAATAAATAATAATAATAATTGGAGTTCAAAAAAAATAAAAGTTATCAATTAATTATATATATCTATGTGCTCCTCTCCATCTATTACCTCAGCCTCTACAAGAGGTAACCAGTAAACCATATTCTAATACATTTTTTCTTCTTTTCTTTTTCTTTTTTTTTTGGAGACAGGGTTTCACCATGTTGGTCAGGCTGGTCTTGAACTCCTTTGATCTACCCACCTCGGCCTCCCAAAGTGGTAGGATTACAGGTGTGAGCCACCGAGCCCAGCCATTTTTTCTTTTTTTGTTGTTGTTTGTGAAAAACAGAGACAGGGTATCGCTCTGTCACCCAGGTTGGAATGCAGCGGTGCAATCGTAACTCACTGTGGCCTTGACCTTCTAGGCTCAAGCAATCCTCCCACCTTAGCCTCCTGAGTAGCTGGGACTACAGATATACACCACCATACCTGGCTAATTTTTTAACTTTAGTAGAGGCGAGGGCTCAATACGTTTCCCAGGCTGATCTCAAACTCCTGGCCTCAAGTGGTCCTCTCACCTTGGCCCCCTAAAATGCTGGGATTTTAAGAGTGAGCCACTACGCCTAGCCCTAACACATTTACACATGCCTGAACAACACATTTTTTCCTTTTCCTTCTGAATATAATGGTATTATAACATTTTAGTCTTCTGGGAAATGCTTTTTACAAATAACACCGTTACATTTCTAAGGTCATGCATGTATATATAGCTAATTTTTTTTTTTACTACTATGTGATATTTCACTACTGAATACACAAAATATGCATTCTATAATCAATGGACATGTCGGTTGTTTCTAGACTTGCTGTTACAAACAGTACATCCGAACACTCCTGTACATGTCTCTTCGTGCATACTTACAAGTTTCTCTTGAGTAAGCATTTGGGAATGGAATTCCTGGGTCAGAGTACATGAACAGACAATACATATCCATAATCTTGGTGTATAAGGTGTATAATATATAATGGTTTTCAACTCTGGCTGCAAAAGAATCATCTAGGAACCTTAAAATATAGTCAAAGTCCTAATCAGCCCTATTGACTTTATTTATAGGGTAAGGAGTTTCAGACCAGACTGGGCAACAGAGTGAGACCTCGTCTCTACAAAAAAATCAGAAATTAGCTAGGCATGGTGGTGCACTCCTGTAGTCCAGCTACTTGGGAGGCTGAGGCAGGAGAAACTGCTTGAGCTCAGGTGGTCAAGGCTGCAGTAAACCATGATCAGAGCACTGCAACAGAGTGAGACCCAGTCTCAAAAACAAACAAAAAACTTCTACAGGAGATTCTGTCATAGCCAATCTCTGGTTTTCAACTGGAATATGGAAGCAGTCATTAATGTAGTAATTAATACATAAACAATTGTTTATTCATTCAGGAGAAAGTTGACTTTTCAAAAAGTTTATCACCTCCCAGCCTCAACTCCTATAACAAAACTAATATATTTCCTTATAATAGAAGAGTAAAAGAAACCAGTTTGGGCAGCATAGTGAGACACCATCTGTATAAAAAATATAAACATCAGCTGGGCATAGTGGCATGCACCAGTCGTCCCAGCTACTCTGGAGGCTGAGGTGGGAGGATCACTTGAGCCCAGAAAATTTAGACTGCAGTGAGTCAAGACTGCATCACTGTACTCCAGCCTGGGGACATAGCAAGATCCTGTCTCTAAAAAAAGTTTAAAAAAAAAAACACAAAAAGAAAAGAAATTACTCCCAGTCTCATCATCCAGAGATAAACACTGCAATGAATTTTTTTCAGAATTTTTGTGTATTTTGTGAATTTTTTTCAGAAATTTTGTATATTTTGATGTAATGGAAATAATACACTTAAGCTGCATATTTTGATTGAGTACACCTTTTTTTTTTTTTTTTTTTTTGAGACAGAGTTTCACTCCTGTTACCCAGGCTGGAGTGCAATGATGCGATCTTGGCTCACCGCAACCTCCGCCTCCTGGGCTCAGGCAATTCTCCTGCCTCAGCCTCCTGAGTAGCTGGGATTACAGGCACGCACCACCATGCCCAGCTAATTTTTTGTATTTTTAGTAGAGACGGGGTTTCACCATGTTGACCAGGATGGTCTCGATCTCTTCGCCTCGTGATCCACCCGCCTCGGCCTCCCAAAGTGCTGGGATTACAGGCTTGAGCCACCGCGCCCGGCCCCGAGTACACTTTTTTTTTGAGACAAGGTCTTGTCCTGAGCATGATCTTGGCTCACTACAGCCTTGATCTCCTGGGCTCATGCAATCCTCCTGCCTCAGTCTCTTGAGTAGCTGGGACTACAGGCACATGCCACTACAACAAGCTAATATTTGTATATATATATATATATTTTTTTTTTTTTTTGTAGAGATAGGGGTCTCAACATGTTGCCCAGGCTGGTTTCAAAATTTTGGCCTCAAGCAATCCTCCTGACTGGGCCTCTCAAAGTGCTGGGATTACTGTACCCAGTCCTGACTGAGGATACTTTATCACTCTTTTTCTAATCATAAAGTTATGATTCTATGCAGATACAAAGTATGAAAGACCACACAATAAATCATTAACTGAAGTTATCTCTGGGAAGTGGAATTGATTTTTAAAAATAGGCATGCACTAGTTTTTAAATTTTAGACAAAAAAAAAAAAAGACTCCATAGAGGTTTGAAAAATACAGAAAAATATAACAAAGAAAATTAAAAATCCCTAATTTTACCATGATGAAGACTATATGCACTTAACCTAACTGCAATCTGCCACAGGTATCAAGTCAATACAGGAATGTTCAAACATCCAACAGAAGATGATAAAAGCTGGGCACTGATAATGGGTAACATTGCAACCAGGAAGTTTGATAGTCTTTCCTCCCCACTCTCAAAAACGGCTACTGTTTCATGTCATTCAACATGAATTTTATGGTGAGATAGTAAGCCCCTTTGGTACATTACTAGTTAAACATTTCAGGTTAGATTCAAAGATGAACTCACTTAATATCAAGAGTCACGTGGTGGTGAGATTCCAGTACACGTTAGGATAGGACCACCATTTATCAAGTCTCCCTGACATTATTTGTCAGATGTACAAAAACTATAAAAAAGTATATTCATTTTGCAATTATGTTAACTTGTATTGCTATAACACATGTATCAAAGTATCCAAGCATAACCAAGGCATGATAACACAGATTTTTAAAGAATTGAGGATTTACCTTAAGATATTCACTGTATTCATCCTCAAACTTCTTGCCCCAGATACTGTTACCTCCTCTTCCAGTACCTATATTCCAAGGCAAGAAAATCAAAAGAAGTATTTAATTAAAATAGCAAACAAGCTCATTTCCCAAAACTTAATGAATACTTTATAGTACAACCGCTTAAATATAAATAAAATTTGGCCAGGCATGGTGGCTCACGCCTATAATCCTAGCACTTTGGGAGGCTGAGGCGGGTGGATTGCCTGAGCTCAGGAGTTCGAGACCAGCCTGAACAACATAGTGAAACCCTGTGTCTACTAAATACAAAAAAATTAGCTGGGTGTGGAGGCGTGCACCTGTAGTCCCAGCTACTCGGGAGGCTGAGGCAGGAGAATTGCTTGAACCCAGGAGGCGGAGGTTGCAGTGGGCTGAGATTGTGCCACTGCACTCCAGCCTGGGCAACAGAGCAAGACTCGGTTTCCAAATTTGTCAATCAAGTAAACACATATATATATATATATATACACACACACACACACACACACACACACACACACACAGATACACACACACACACACACACACACACACACACACACACACGTATAAAATTTGATATGGCCTTTCCTAATTCCCCAAATTTAACTTCACAGACCTGAAGATTAAAATAGATCTACAAAAAACAAAAAAGAATAACCCTCCTTATAAATACTGTTCATATATATTTTTTAGTATGAAAATCTTCACAAATTTGCATCTTATCTTTGTGCAGAGGCCATGCTAATCTTCTTTGTATCATTCAAATTTTAGTATATGTGCTGTCAAAGTGAGAAAAATATAGTTTATATTTTAGGGGTAGGTGCTAATAATTTCTGCTTTAAAATTATACCATGGAATATTATGCAGCTGTGTAAAGGAATGAGATCGTGTCCTTTGCAGGGACATGGATGCAAGTGGAAGCCATCATTCTCTGCAAACTAACACAGGAACAGAAAACCAAACACCATATGTTTTCACTTGTAAGTGGGAGTTGAACAATGAGATCACATGGACACAGGGAGAGGACCAAAACACAGCAGGGCTAATAGGGGGTTGGGGGACAAGGGGAGGGAGAACATTAGGACAAACAGCTAATGCATGTGGGGCTTAAAACCTAGATGACAGGTTGATAGGTGCAGTAAACCCCCATGGCACAGGTATACCTATGTAACAAACCTACATGTTCTGCACTTATAGAACAGAACTGAAACACACACACACACACACACCCCTCCACATTTTAAATTCTTCTTTTACCCACTGCTTCATATTATATATTCAGTTCCTTGGATCTTAGTTAATGGAATAACTTACCTGTTGGATCTCCTGTTTGAACCATGAAACCCTTGATATTTCTATGAAATATACAGCCATTGTAGTAGTTACTGGCACAAAGAGCCAAGAAATTCTGAAGAGAGTAAAAATAATGATTGAGAAATGATGCAGAAGAAACCCAGTTAAGGCAAAGAACCAATCATATTTACTGAAAACACTATAGCAGCATAAACTATAGCTTTTGGTATTACTTTGGATGTTACTTCCTTTCCTAAAACACTTCAATAGCTTCCTTCTGCTCTTGGAATAAAATGAAAATCTTCAGCAGGGCCTAACAAGCCCTGCAGCACCTGGCTTATCTCTTCATCACATATACTAAGAACTGCTTTCTTATTGCTTACAACTTAAACGCATCAGCATTCTGACAACCCAAAAGGGACAGGATTTCCCACCTTGGGGACTTTGTACCTGATAGTTCTATGCCAGGAATGTTCTCTTTTTTTGTAGAGACAGTGTCTCCCTATGTTGCCCAGGCTGGCCTTGAACTCCGGGGCTCAAATGATCCTCCTGTCTCAGCCTCCCAAAGTGCTGGAATTACAGGTGTGAGCCACTGTGCCCGGCCTTAGAATTTTTTTCAATTTTATTTCACAACTCTGAATACCTGGAATATTCTTTTTATACCTCTTTCCATGGAGATGCCCTCGCACCTTCACATTCAGTTTAAGTATTAGTCTCTTGGCTAGGCCTCCCCTCACCTTCTTCCTTTCCTATTATTCTCTATCTCAACACTTAATTTTTTTCAAGGCATTATCACCTTTTAGAATTACTTAATTTTAGGCCAGGCGCAGTGGCTCACACCTGTAATCCCAGCACTTTGGGAGGTGGGCAGGTCGCTTAAGTCCAGGAGTTCAAGACCAGCCTGGGCAACATAGTAAGAGCTTGTCTCTATTTTTAAAATTAAATAAATAAATAAAAATAATTTTTTAAAAAAGAAGTATTTAATTTTCCTGCCCCGCTTATTTTTCCAACTAGAATATTGGCTTCATGAGAGTAAGGAATGTCTGTTGCTCGTCACTGTATCCCCAGACTCTGGGGCAAGATGTCCTTTCATAAATAATGGGTTTTTGTTTTGTTTTGTTTTGAGACAGGGTCTTACTCTGTCACCTAGGTTGGAGTGCAGCAGTGTGATCAGAGTTCACTATAGCCTTGACCCTCCAGATTCAGGCAATCCTCCCACCTTGGCCTCCCTTGTAGCTGGGGCAATAGGCACACATCACCACACTTGGCTAATTTTTGTATATTTTTGTAGAGATGGGGTCTCACTATGTTGTCTAAGTAGGTCTAGAATTTCTGAGCTCAAGTGATCCTGCCACCTTAGCCTCCCAAAATGCTGAGATTATAGATGTTAGCCACTGCACCCGGCCATAAATAATTGTTGAATAAATGAATATACACAGCTGACTCTTCTTCCTTCTATCCTTGTCATTTAAACAGGTGAAACAGGCTGGGCGCGGTGGCTTATGCCTATAATCCCAACACTTTGGGAGGCCAAGATGGGTGGATCACCTGAGGTTAGGAGTTCAAGACCAGCTTGATCAACCCATCTCTACTAAAAACACAAAATTAGCCAGGTGTTATGGTACATGCCTGTAATCCCAGCTCTCAGGAGGCTGAGGCAAGAGAATCCCTTGGACCTGGGAGGTGGAGGTTGCAGTGGCCCAAGACTGCGCCACTGCACTCCAGCCTGGGCAACAAGAACAAAACTCTTGTCTCAAATAAATAAATAAAAACACACAGGTGAAATAATGTATAGAACAGGCCAGGCATGATGGTTCACACCTGTAATCCCAACACTTTGGGAAGCTGAGGCAGGAGGATGGCTGGAGACCAGGAGTTTGAGACCAGCTTGGGCAACATAGTGAGACCTCATCTCTACCAAAAAAAAAAGAGAAAAAAGAAAATTAGCCTGGCGTGGTAGCACCTGTAGTCCCATCTACTTGGGAGGCCAAGGTGCGAGTATTGCTTGAGCCCATTAGGTTGAGGCTGCAATGGGCTGTGATTGCACCACTGCACTCCAGCCAGGCTGGCACAGCAATACCCGCACCCAAAAAAAAAAAAAAAAAAAAAAAAAAAGAAGTATACAATAATTCTTCAATATAATATCCTGGCTGGGCGTGGAAGCTCACACCTGTAATCCCAGCACTTTGGGAGGCCAAGGCAGGTGGATTACCTGAGGTCAGGAGTTCAAGACCAGCCTGGTCAACATGGTGAAACCCTGTATCTACTAAAAAAATATAAAAATTTGGCAGGTGTCGTGGCGGGTGCCTGTACTCCCAGCTACTTGGGAGATGAGGCAGCAAAATTGTTTGAATTCGAGAGGCAGAGGTTGCAGTGAGCCAAGATCGGGCCACTGCACTCCAGCCTGGATGAAGGAGCAAGACTCCACGGGTGGGGGAAAGGCCGGGTGTGGGGGCTCATACCTGTAATCCCAGCACTTTGGGAGGCTGAGGTGAGTGGATCACCTGAGCTAAGGAGTCTGAGACCAGCCTGGCCGACGTGGTGAAACTGCATCTCTACTAAAAGTACAAAAATTAGCCAGGCATGATGGCGTGCGCCTGTAATTCCACCTAGTCAGGAGGCTGAGGCAGGGAAATCACTTGAACCTGGGAGGTAGAGGTTGTAGTGAGCTGAGATAGCACCACTGCATTCTAGCCTGGGCGACAGAGCAAGACTCTGTCTCCAAAAAATAAAATACGTATACACACACGCGCGCACACACACACACACACACACACACACACACACAATAATAATATAATCCTAATGATTATGTTTCCTGACGAAAATGAGTCCAAAGAAAATGATACTGGCTACTATAACATTACAGTAAAATTATCTGCCTTCTCTTTGTTCCACCTTTGGGATTGGACAAATAAGTGGAAATCAGATCAGAAGTTATGATGATTAGTTTTTCCTAACAATGGTTTTACAGAAAGTTTTGTTGTTGTTGTTGTTGTTGTTGTTGTTTAGGTTAGATTATTCAATTCCAAAATGGTTACCTTGTTGTATTAACTGATGTTTAATATGTAAATAATGGTACTTACCTCACATGTTTTGGGTGTCCTCTCACAAAAGACTTCAATTTTAATATCACCTACATCAGTATGCAATGTCACAGACTAAAAAGGAGAGAAAATGTGAGAACAAATGAAATTTCTTCAGGTGACTTTATGTACTGTATTATTTCCCTAAATGGATATTCAAGATGATAATCTGAATAAAAACAGACAGAAATACTGCTTCAGAGATGACCCATCCACAAAGGATGTTGGTGAATTGCATATATATAAATAATACATAACAATTAGAGATAAGTTGTACTTTTTCCTCAAAATGTATCTCAGCAGTCAAGAAAAAACTCCAGAATATAAATGTTAGGGTTAAGTAGTATCCATGATAAAAATTTGGAAGTAAACATTTTGATGAAAATAATTATTTTAACTTTGAATTTTTTCATCAAGAAAAATAAAAACAATTGTTATGTACTATTGATTTATACGGCAATTCACCAACATCCTTATTTATAGAAAAATGATGAGAAAATGATTTTTCAAAACATAATTGCCACCATTTTCCTTAGGTAATTTAATTCTGAGAAATAGGGTTAAAAAATAATTCCTTTCTCAACTAACAAAAACATAACAAGTGTCAGTGTTTCCAAATCCTAAATGTGCAGATAACCATAGTGCTCTTTCTTGCTTGCTTCTTTTCTTGTACCTGTTTTTCTGTAAACTGTATACCCCTTGATACGATACTCTATTCTGGAGAGGGAGAAAACAATCTGGAGGATTCCTTTTTCACTTCCTTTTTTTTTTTTTTGAGATGGAGTCTTGCTCTGTTGCCCAGTTGGAATGCAATGGTGCGGCCTCAGCTCACTACAACCTCTGCCTCCTGGGTTCAAGCAATTCTCCTGCCTCAGCCTCCCAAGTAGCTGGGATGACACACCTGGCTAATTTTTGTGTTTATAGTAGAGATGGGGTTTTGCCATGTTGGCCAGGCTGGTCTCGAACTCCTGACCTAAAGTTATTGGCCTGCCTTGGCCTCCCAAAGTGCTGGGATTACTACAGGCATGAGCCACTGTGCCTGGCCTTCTTCTTAAATAGTAACTTCAGTAATTAGAGAGTATGACCAGGTTAAAGATGTGTGTGGGAGAAGCAGGGCACTAGTTTAATTGCTTTTTTCTATTTCTAGTTCTAGTTTCCTACTTTGTTTTTTTAAAAGTAGAGATGGGGGTCTCCCTATGTTGCCCAAGCTGGTGTTGAACTCCTGGGATCAATCGATCCTGCCACCTCAGCCTCCCAAAGTGCTGGGATCACAGGCGTGAGCCACTGCACCCAGCCTAGTTGCCTACTTTAGATCCAGAGCAAAATAACCCAGTTAAAATTGTCAGACCTGTCTATTCTCTTCTGCTCCTTCAACTCCTTTCCATTTCTATCTATCTTGTAACCAACCTTTCTCCATAAAACGTAAATTCTGTGCGTTTTAAGTGACAATGCTAAAGAATTTTAAAGTAACTTTGTGTATTTTTAAAAGAAGTATTCCATATTAAATGCTTCTATAGTGTACAATTTCTCCATCTTGTCACTGCAATTCCCATGCACTTTTATTGCCCTTGACTAAATTTCTAAAAATTACTTATAATGAAAGACATTTCATAAGAATTGTTCAAAACTTACCATTTTTCCTCTTAGTGGTTTCAGGAAAGACTACGTAATTTCTCAGAGTCTTACAGCGAGGTCAAAAATAAGTCTCTAGTCCCAAAAGAAAAAAAGAATTAGGCTCATCTTTCTATCTTCCTAATTCACACACGCTCACCTTTACTGCACATTTTATTTTTTTTTTTTATTTTTTATTTTTTTATTTTTTGAGACGGAGTTTCACTCATGTTACCCAGGCTGGAGTGCAATGGCGCGATCTCGGCTCACCGTAACCTCCGCCTCCTGGGTTCAGGCAATTCTCCTGCCTCAGCCTCCTGAGTAGCTGGGATTACAGGCACGCACCACCATGCCTAGCTAATTTTTTGTATTTTTAGTAGAGACGGGGTTTCACCGTGTTGACCAGGATGGTCTCGATCTCTTGACCTCGTGATCCACCCGCCTGGGCCTCCCAAAGTGCTGGGATTACAGGCTTGAGCCACCGCGCCCGGCTACTGCACATTTTAAATAAAAATCCTTGCCCAGAATGGTGTCTCACGTCTGTAATCCCAGCACTTTGGGAGGCCAAGGTGGGTGGAGCTCCTGAGGTCAGGAGTTCAAGACCAGCCTAGCCAACATGGCGAAACCCTGTCTCTACTAAAAACACAAAAATTAGCTGGGCGTGGTGGCACTCCCCTATAGTCTCAGCTACTCCGGAGACTGCGGCAGGAGAATCGCTTGAACCTCGGAGGCAGAGGTTGCAGTGAGGCGAGATCCCGCCACTGCCAACCTGGGTGACGGAGACAGGCTCCGTCTCAAAAAAAAAAAAAAATCCTCTAATGGCATCCCCTATGTAATAAAAACCCAGCTACAGAGTAATGATGAGAGACCCTACCCAATTCAAGCCTCCCAGTCTCCTACTTGCCCTGCTTGCTCTTCTTCAAGAGCCTCCTTGCAAGTCCCCCAGTAAGCCAGATACCTTCCCTTAGGGTCTAGGCACTGGGTGTCCCTTTTGTCTGGAATGCTTATTACACTCAGACATCTCTACAGCTAATTTCCTCATCTCCAAATTTCTGCTTAAATATCAAGTTTAACTCACCTGACAACCCTACATAAAAGTGCTTGAGACCTAGGATGTGCCTATTTCCTTCTCCCACAGCATCTATCACTAATATACTATTAACTACTCTCTCTCCTTTTTTTTTTTTTTTTTTTTTTTTTTTTTTTTTTTTGAGACGGAGCCTTGCTCCGTCGCTAGGCTGGAGTGTAGTGGCGCGATCTCGGATCACTGCAACCTCCGTCTCCCGGGTTCAAGTGATTGTCTTGCCTCACTCAGCCTCCTGAGTAGGTGTTATTACAGGCTCGCGCCACAGAGGTTCCATCCGGCTCGGCCTTCCAAAGTGCTGGCTTACTAGCATGAACCACCGCGCCCGGCCCTTCTCTTATTCTCACGTTGCAACAACAGCCTCGCTGCCCACTGTTCACTCGCAGTATCCCAAGAAGTAAACCAGTAGCAACACAGAGCTCAGCAAGTATTCGAATAAGTGAATGAAAGAATTAATGACGTTGCTCCATACTTGGGCTTCACCACTTCGTTTAGCACAGCCGTTGTTAAAACAGGAAAAATGCAATCGCACATGCCAGCAGAGTTCTGTTGGTTCAAAATTATAGTTTCTATGGGCCACCGGAAATTGGGCGCGGGACCCGAGAGAGAACGTCCTTTACCGCCTCATTTCCCTCCTCCCTACCCCTTCCTCTCTCAAACCAAAACTACACTGTAATTTATCCCCCGCCGGAAATTTGACAGTGAAAGGGAGCTCTATTAATAATTCCACTGGGACAAGAAGCGTTAAGGCAAAACTATCTGGGTAACCTCAAGCAATGGTTTACACTCGGTTGCCGAACTGAAAGGACCACTTCCGCCCAGCTTTCCAGCTACTGGGAACGCATTACCACAGCGCCGCGAGCGCCGACGCAGGAACGGAAGTGACGTAGCGAAGTTTCCGGGACTGGTGAATAGTGGGCGATTTAAAAAGCCGCGAGTGTAGCTGTGACCTTCGCGGTAGGTTCGGGTTAGGGCAGACTGTGATTGTTATATTGGTGCTGCAGAGGCAAGCAGAAGAGATTGGGTAAGAAAAGTACCCTGCCGCGAGACAGCACTGTGTAGTAATGGGACGGGGGTCCTGACTCATACTTACTGGCTGTGTCACGTGGGTTTTCACTGTCCTGGAAAACACAAGAAATGAGGCAAAGATTAGGTAAGGTAGAGGGAGCGGTTTGCAGGCTGCAAAGGGGCCCTGCTGATGCTACGTAATAGCAAACTTGGTGCTTACCTTGGTACGAGAGCCACGTGTAAATCTCGCGATATTGTGACCGTGGCACTATTTCCTGCCCCGGAGGAAACTGCAGGTGATAACTAACATTTGCCTGTTGTTGCTCAGCTGTGACCCTGACTTCAGAGTCCCTCCCACCATACCGTGCTGCCTCCTGTTGTCGTTGTTGACTGTGGCCATGTAGCCTCTCAGTTTCCTCATCTGTAACAGTAAATAACTCAAAACCTGCATGGTGGCCCACTAGGTTTTCACTTGCGAGCTTGCCAGATGTAGAAAGGGCTGGAAAACCGAGTACTGTGAGGACTATTAGAATATCTTCCAAGGCCGGACGCAGTGGCTCATGCCTGTAATCCCAGCACTCTGGGAGGCCGAGGCAAGGTGGATCGCTTGAGCGCAGGAGTTTTGAGACCAGCCTTGGGCAACATGGCGAGATCCCATCTCTACCAAAAATACAAAAATTAGCCAGGCATGGTATTCCGCGCCTATAGTCCTAGCTACTCAGGAGGCTGAGGTGGGAGGATCTGCTTGAGGCCAGGAGGTCGAGGCTCCGGTGAGCTGATAACGCACCGCTGCACTCCAGCCTAGGCGACGGGTGAAACCCTGTCTCAAAAAGAAAAAAACAAAAACTTCCAAGACCGCGAGTGGTTTTTGGAGACCCTGTATTACTTCAAGTAATGCATTAAATAAGCATCACCATCTGATTAAATAGAAATGTTGAAAAATTGCTTGTGGAATAATTGGCTTATGGATATTTCATCAAATTTGCAATTGACTATGCTTTTCTTCAAAAAGTGTTTATAGGTAGTAAGTTTAAGAATGGGGTTGACAGCATTATCTTTTGTAGTTATTTGATTAAACATTTACTAATTGTGCATATTTTTGAGCCAGCAATTTTTTTCTATCTTCCTGTTGCCATCCCACCTTCCCTTTGTTGCCAGCCTTTTCAGTTCCTTGTTGGATGTAGATATTTAGAAGGCTTACAGGCTGTGTAGGGAAAGTGCTCTATACCTTAACCCCTCCCACCTCTTGAGCCGACTTCGTGTAGCAAATGTTGCTTAAGGGGCAGTGGCTTCTCCCTTATCCTGCCTTGACCCTGCCCATTCGTAGAGTGACCTCCCTATGTATGCCTTGATTCTTAATGCTGATAAAGCACTTGAAATTTTAAACGTTATTCTGGTTTTTCATAAAGCATGTTTTATGCCAGTATATACCACCCAACTCCAAATTCTGTTGTAATCGAGAGGTAGGCAAGGTCATTCTATGCAGGTAGCGTTTAGTGCTGGCTTATATTGGCTATACCGAAATTTATTAAAGATATTTCCTATTCCGTAGTAGCTTCAGCATAATGGAACATACACGGAATTCTGAGAGCACTGAGGGGTGGGGAGCCTTGGGAAGGATGCTGAAAAGGAAGGTTTGTCAAGAAAAGTTTTATTTAAGAAGTTGAAGGGGGCTTGGGAAAAGGGAAGGTAATATTTAGAGAAATGGATTAGGGAGAAGGTTGGTTGAAGCAAGAGTGGGAAGAATGAGAACAAGGGTGTGTGAGGCAGGAGACAGGATGGACATTTGTGTATTATATACTAGGCTATGCTAGGTTACATAATTCATTTGCTCCTCTGGATGGCCTGTGAGGTGGGTTATAGCATCTTCATTTCCTAGGTGAGAAAACAAGACTGGAGAGGTTAAATGGCTTACCTAAGCTACAGTGTGCTGGTAAGTGGCAGGGCCACTATTTGAACCCAGATCTCTATGATGACAACTCTTTTGTCCATATGATTTGATGCCTCACAGATCCAGGCCTAAAGTGTATGTGTGTACCATTTTCTTTGTTTTGACTTCAGAAACGAATTTTACCTGATTTCTGTATGTTGTCATCTTGTGTACGCCCGGTCCCCACGACAGTCCGGTTTATAGATTCCCTGATCTGCAATTCTTCCCGTTCCTTCATGGATTTGAAGGCTCTCCTTTCTTCCTTGAATGACTTTGCATCCCTCTCCTTTGCTGAGAGTTGGGACAATGTTGGATTACTGGTGGAACCAAGCCCACCACATACTGTAAATACCCTCTTCCTGACAAATGACCTGACTGAGGAAGTGATGGAGGAGGTGCTGCAGAAGAAGGCAGACCTCATTCTCTCCTACCATCCACCTATCTTCCGACCCATGAAACGCATAACCTGGAACACCTGGAAGGAACGCCTGGTGATCCGAGCTCTGGAGAACAGAGTGGCTATCTACTCTCCTCACACAGCCTATGATGCCGCACCCCAGGGAGTCAACAACTGGTTGGCTAAAGGGCTTGGTGAGAAGCCACTTTCATATTTGTTATTTTACCTACAAATACTTTGAAACTTTAGAATGTCTTTACAGTAAAGTTTTGACTGCTTTCGGGGTGGGGAAGGTATCATTCCATTTTTATGTAATTTTAAAATAATGTTGCTGAAATTTGGCAGTTAAATTGCATTTGAAAAAGGAAACATTTTTTATCTTTATGGAATAAGGGGAGCAGAAGTCTTCCTTACTGGACTGAGCTTCGTGATTCCTCATTTTTGTGGCACAATGCCTGTCACCTAGGCACTTGAAAAATGCTTGTTGAATTGAAAGATCAGGTCTCTCCAGAATACACTTGATATGTCAGGTAGATAGACGTCAGGGTTTTAATGATGTTTTTAGTAAATGTTTGCCTATGCCTAGCCCAATAAGGGAATGATATATACATTTTAGCTTTATTTTAATAAGTCCTTAGTTTACTCGTTTTGGGCTGAAGCTTTTATGATGGTATCTGGATTACCATGGTCAAATACAGTACGAGCATTTGCAACCTGAATAATGGTTTATGTGGGTAGATTTACCAAGCACTAGACAATTCTGTGTATTATCTAAAAATGTATGAATCAGTCTTTCTTGTCCAAGTTTTTTAAAGATTTAAGAATCTTTTGGAATATAATTCTGAAAATAATTTGACTTTGTATGTCCATACCAAAGCCCTAGATTATGGGGACTGGTGAGGTATATCTAAGGGATATGTATGTGTGTGTGTGTGTATTATATAAGCATGAGAATGAATCTTTTAAAAAAAAGTCATTTCTTAGAAATTTTGCCTACAATAGTTTATCTTTTAAATCTTAACCTCTCATCCCCCAAAACTCCCATTTTCCACAATTATTTTCTCTAGGAGATTGTACCTCCAGGCCCATACATCCTTCCAAAGCTCCCAACTACCCTACAGAGGGAAACCACCGAGTAGAATTCAGCATTAATCACAGCCAAGACCTGGACAAAGTCATGTCTGCAATGAAAGGAATTGAAGATGTTTCTGTCACTTCTTTTTCTGCGAGGTACAATTTATTTTTCTCTTTTTTTTGTGTATTTATTTGTAAGCTTCTTCTTTACAAAGTCTATAGCCCTGGTATTTAGGCTTGAAACAAATCATTTTCTCTTGAGTTGGTTTACAAAGCAGCATACTCCTCATTTGTATGTGGGTCCTGGAGAACTATTGACTTTTTTTCAAAACAATAAAAACGATAAGTAACAATTATTTTCTATGTTGGGGGACGATACTCTGCATTTTGTTTATTTACTTATTTATTTGAGACAGAGTCTTGCTTTGTCGCCCAGGCTGGAGTGCAATAGCGTGATCTTGGCTCACTGCATCCTCGGCCTCCTGGGTTCAAGTGATTCTCCTGTCTCAGCCTCCCAAGTAACTGGGATTACAGGGGTCCACCATCATGCCCGGCTAATTTTTTTTTTTCTTTTTTTGAGACGGAGTTTCGCTCTTGTTACCCAGGCTGGAGTGCAATGGCGCTATCTCGGCTCACCGCAACCTCCGCCTCCTGGGTTCAGGCAATTCTCCTGCCTCAGCCTCCCGAGTAGCTGGGATTACAGGCACGCGCCACCATGCCCAGCTGATATTTTGCATTTTTGGTAGAGACGGGGTTTCCCCATGTTGACCAGGATGGTCTCGATCTCTTGACCTCGTGATCCACCCGCCTCGGCCTCCCAAAGTGCTGGGATTACAGGCGTGAGCCACCGCGCCCGGCCCGGCTAATTTTTTATATTTTTAGTAGAGACAAGATTCCACCATGTTGGCCAGGCTGGTTTTGAACTCCTGACCTCATGTGATCCACCTGTCTCGGCCTCCCAAAGTGCTGGGATTACAGGCGTGAGCCACCACACCCAGCCCCACCTCAGCCTCTTAAGGAGCTAGGACTACAGGTGTCAAAGGAAAAATACATTAAGCGCCTCTTTAAAAGGTCAGTCATTTAGTTATTTAGGGCAGAGAAAGGAGGTTTTTCTTTTTTTGTTTTTTATTTTTGAGAAACAGGGTCTTTGTCACCCAGGCTGCAGTGCAGTGGCATGATCACAGCCCACTGCAGCCTTGATCTCACATGCTCAAGCCATCATCCCACCTTAGCCTCCCTATTAGCTGGGACTGTAGGTGCTTGCCACCCATGCCCAGCTAATTTTTGTATTTTTTGTAGAGACGGAGTTTTGACTTGTTGCCCAGGCTGGTCTCGAACTCCTGGGCTCAAGCC